AGTGAAAAGTGGATGTTACATGGTATAGTGGCATTAAGTGCCACAATGGGCACCTCTGCCTACCCCTTTGAGAATAAAAGGCGTGATGTTCTGAGTAATGTTTACTAAGATAGTGGCCTATATTCAATTCCTGTGATACCATTATAACTTATTTAGACTCCATCCAACCTTTTTGAAACATTTTAACTTGACCTCGATCATCATTACTCGTAATAAAATACCATTTCAAATTGATCCCAGTAAAAAATCTTAAAAGTTAATTAATCGCAATACACTCTGCCTTTCGACCGTTATTACATAACTTAAGACATGTTTATAAAAACGGGGTCAGCAGAGTCGAAGGATTCTGCAATCATTACGCATCTCTGTTGAACCAAAACTGGTATTATGTGTTTAAATTTTTTAATGTAGGTGTGGGTTAACTTGATCTTAAGTGGGTGTTAGTGCTACTGTCGAACGAAAAGTGGTTTGTTCGATATTCGGTTGGGTATTAAGGGTTTTTGGGAGTTTGGTAATTTTAGGGGTATGTCAGTTTTTGTTCGTGAATTGTGCATCCTTACTATATAATATTATAAATCTGAAAGTGAGTTTGTTTGTTTGTTTGTTTGTTCCACCTTCACGCCGTAACTACTCAACCGATTGCTTTGAATTTTTGCAGACGTAAAGTTAGAAGTCCGGATTAAATAATAGGGTACTTTTTAACCCGGAAAAATTGATATTCCCGAGGAAAAACAAAACTATTGGTATAGATGGCGCTGTGTGTATTGGTATATGTCATATAGGCTACTTTTTATTCTTTTGTGACGCGAGCGAAGCCGCGGGTAAAAGCTAGTTTACAATAAATAAGATAGTATAATAGAATTATCTAGTCATATATATCTGCTTATGACTTGAAACTAGTCAAGTTCCTAGTCAAACAGTTAACTACGTAAATAAGCTGAAAACATAATAATTAACTGTCTAGTGTTTTTTTTTCACAGTCCTATATATTCACTGCCTCATTGGCCGAGTGGTCGCAAGTGCGACTGCCGGGCAAGGGGTCTCGGGTTCGATTCCCGGGTCAGGCAAAGTATTACTGGGTTTGTAAAAACCTCAGTAGTAGCACGGAGTCTGGAAATGTGCCCGGTATATGGCAATAGGCTCACCCCCTATTACATGGGACTCATAACATAAGTAGTGAAAAGTGGGTGTTACATTGTACAGTGGCATTAAGTGTCATAATGTGCACTTTTGCCTACCCCTTCGGGGATAAAAGGCGTGATGTTATGTTTGTTATGTTGTCCTATATATTCACCTTTGCTTACTACTTCGAGAAATAAATACTTGGTCTCCAAAATATAAAGGTTATAAAACTGGTTATCCATCCATAAACCAGCTTCAGTAAGCGCAGTTTAACCTTAACGAAATAAAAATAACCTACAGAGTCAGCACGGACATCTTAAAATGTCTACATTTGCATTTCAACTTTTTCTTACGAACCAAAGCCTTGTGGTGACGGCAGGGTAGAATAGTCACCACCCCTGCTCTATACTCTTCCCGTGGGTGTCATATACCTGACTAAGGGACAACACATTTGACAGAGACCGGATAGCAGCGCTCTCTGATAAACCTGAACCTTTTATACCGCGATCTTCTAACCTGCTCACCAAGTCTTGTAAAGTAAGAATTGCAAACCTTGCAATTTAAAGTGTGGGAGACCCATGCTTCGGCACGAATGGGCCGGCTCGACCGGAGTGATACCACGGCCTCACAGAAAACCAACGTGAAGCAACGCTTGCGTTGTGTTTCGTCGTGTGAGTGAGGTTACCGGAGGCCCAATTACCTTCCCCTTCCCCAATCTCCCCAATCCCTGAATCCCCAACGATCCTCAAACTCCTAATCCCCAAAAAGCCGGTGACGCACTTGTAACGCCTCTGGTATTCCAGGTGTCCATGGGCGACGCCGATTGCTTACCATCAGGTGATCCGTCAGCTCGTTTACCGGCTTATGCCATAAAAAACCTTTTTATGTAGTCCAGCAATGGACTGCCAAGTGCTGTTGAGCATAAGCTACAAAGACTTAAGACAGTGGCGCCATCTAGATCACCAATGAATGAATTATCGACACTGAGTACACGCACGCCTTTCTGCGCACACAAGGTCAGCAGCTAAAGGACACTGGTCTTTCTTCGTCAGTATTTATTAATAGCAGCCTGTTCATATTTTGGTGTAAGCAGATGGCAAGCTCAATGTCAATTTGCCTGGGATACGTACTGGCGTATGTTTTATGAGTTACTTACCCTGTTCAGTCTCAGTGACCCAAAGTGAATCTTTGCCTTATTTCTTTGTTTCTCGCTATTCTTGGCTCTCTACTTATCATTTACTAGAGATGTTCGGTGCTCCTTCAAATACAATTTCATTAGGTACGTCTTTCTACTTTGTACAGATACCTTAATAGGGTAGATGCCTAATTTTTATTTTATAAACCGTTTGGTAGATTATTTTAAAAACAATAGACACGTATTTTTTATTTTCTTACAGAAACGAATACTTTCGACGATATATTGATTTGAAATATCGCGTGATGTCACTTCTATGTACATTTTATACGTAGAAATGACGTTTTAGCCCCCACTCCTAAACTTTGATTCGTTTTATCTAAGTATTGTTTTATTATACGACAAAATAAAAAAACACGTGTCTAATATTTTTTCATTACCTACCTAACTTACGGCGTATTTGATTTTTAATTTTCATACCCTATCATCATCCTAATTTGGTATTGTTAAAAACAACTACTGGGTTTACGAAAACAATTAGGAAAGACATGCAACTATCGAAAGATATATTATGCAGTATGCAAAGCTTCATAAGGTATAAGATGTTACATTACTATCAACCTGTTAACATTTTGGCACACACAGAAGGCTAACTGAACAGCAATTTGTCTGAACGTACGACGTCTGACATACGTTTACGTAACATAATGTCAGATGTCCATCGCATATCAGTCAGTAGCCATTTATTATTGTAAATCACTCGTCTGACATTTGGGAATGACGACATCTTCATTTTTTGAATTAAGCTGTTTTTTATTGAAGAGATACGCTTATTTATCGACTGCGTCATTGGTCGAGCGATCGCAAGGTTCGATTCCCGGGTCGAGCAAAGTATTACTGGGTTTTTTGAAAAAGATCTCAGTAATAGCACGGAGTCTGGATTTGTGCCCGGTATATGGCTATAGGATCACCCCCTATTACATGGGAGTCATAACATAAATAATTTGAAAAGTGGGTGTTACATTGTACAGTGGCATCAAGTGCCGTAATGTGCACCTCTGCCTACCCATTAGGGATAAAAGGCGTGATGTTATATATGTGTGTTACGTTATTCGCTTATTCATGTTATTTTTTATGGAATTTCCGATAAACGAGCAATCCAATAATCGAGCGGATCACCTGATGGTAAGCAATAGACGTCGCCCATAGACACCCGGAACACCAGAGGCGTTACAAGTGCGTTATCGGCCTTTTGGGGATTAGGTATTAGAGGATTGTTGGGGTTTCAGGGATTGGGGAGATTGGGGAGAGGAGAGGGGAATTGGGCCTACGCTAACCTCACTTACACGACGAAACACAACGCAAGTGTTGTTTTACGTCGGTTTTCTGTGAGGCTATGTTATCACTGCGGTCGAGTCGGCCTATTCGTGCCGAAGCATGGCTCGCCTACACTTAAATCTATTAATATTTAATTAATTTATTAAATATTGCAGTCAAGTAAGTCTAAATATCAGATTATATTTTGAGTCGGATATAAAATATCTCTACTTCGTTTTTTAATCGATCGTAAATGTTCGTGGAACGAGTTGTTTGGGGTTCAAATACCGAAAATCGCTGAGCAGTATTATTGTATGTATTTTGGTTAATCCTTACTAATATTATAAATCGAAAAGTGAGTTTGTTTGTTTGTTCCACTTTCACGCCGTAACTACTAAACCGATTGCTTTGATTTTTAGCAGACGTAAAGTTAGAAGTCTGGATTAAATAATAGGTTACTTTTTAACCCGGAAAAATTGATATTCCCGAGGAAAAACAAAAGTATTGGTATAGATGGCGCTGTGTGTATTGGTATATGTCACATAGGCTACTTTTTATCCTTTTGTGACGGGAGCGAAGCCGCGGGTAAAAGCTAGTCGTAATATAAATTAGGCATTTTGGTATTGTGCCTGGGTCAATGGAATCAATATCAAAATTAAAAAAATACAGCATCATAAACCTAAAAAGCAACCAACCCCTTTTACGAATTCCATTTTCAAAAATGACCATAAGTTCTGTCTTCGTCTGGGGTCACCGTGTACAAGCGGGCCCACCGAAGTAAAACAATAGGGGGATATGACGTCACATCCTGCATAACCAGACTGCGCCGCCGCACGATTTCGGTAAGGAAATTGACTCGGGTTCGAATTTCAAAACGTGAGGTTTGAATTTAGATCGCCGTTGTGCTTTTGTTTGTTTGTTAATGGAATGCGTGTAACGGTTTTTTTCGAATAAAGAAGTTTTTTGTTTTTTGAATGCGGTCGATAGGGTCCTAAGAGCACTTACGACTCGTCTATTGTTAATCGGCCTGAATAATAGTGTCCAGTAAATATATGGCAGACTAGGGGTCACCTTTAATGAGATGCAGTTTGAAAGATTATAATTATGAAAATTGGATTTATTATAACTCAAGAATATAACCCATTTTTTTTATTCTCAGTAGTAGCGCGGAGTCTGGAATTGTGCCCGGTATATGGCAATAGGCTCACTACCTAGCATACATGGGACTCATAACATAAATAGTGAAAAGTGGGTGTTACATTGCACAGTGGCATAATGTGCACCTCTGCCTACCCTTTCGGGGATAAAAAGCGTGATGTTATGTGTTAAAACCCAAATCCCAGCTTGCCACTTCTTTCCACTGAACTAACGAAGACACACGCAATTTTATCTTTACTTTCCTAAACAAAACTTTCTTTCTTTCCAGGAGGATGGTACAGTGGAATACTTCAACAACATCATTGTCCAGCCCCATCTCCGCCTGGTGACCGGCCAGGGTCGAGGGTACCACGTCGCCTGCCGGTACAGGCGCCGAGACCTCACACACTTCCATCTCTACAGACCAAGAGCTGATCGGTTGACTAATTCTCTAGCTGATGATTTTAGTACTGATCATAGGTACGTATTTTTGTCACCAAATAGGTACTTGATAGCGTTTTGGTACAATCATTTATTAAGAAATAATATTTTCGAGATTTGCGAATGGAATTCTAGCATTTAATAAAACCATAGCTTCTGCTAACTTGTCGCGGAGAACCTAATGGGTTGCCGGGGCTCCAGCTCGACGTGCAGGAGAAGGAACGGGGTGGTTTTTAGTCTGTAAGAGTCTGACACTCCTTCCCGCCTCACCCAGGCAGAAGCAGTCATTCGATGATTTTCCTCCCTTAAAAAAAAGCTTCTGCTAACTTAAAAGTGTTAATCAAATAATCAAATCTTCCTATCAAGTTATCCTCAAAACGTGGAAACAATGACGTGTAAAGTCAGTAGTAGCACGGAGTCTGGAATTGTGCCCGGTAAATAGCAATAGGCTCACTCCCTATTACATGGGACTCATAACATAAACGAAAAGTGAGTGTTACCCCTGTGTGCACCTCTGCCTACCCCTTCGGGGATAAAAGGTGTGAACATTGAATAACTTGTTATTAACATACCCGAAGTATAATTCAAATGATTGTGATTTGTGGCTTATGCGATGTGTAAACATTAAATAACTTGTTATATGCAAATGGTATAATCCAAATGTTTATCAATTGTGGCTTTAATGTTCCAGCAATGAATTCGATGAGGACTCCGGTCTACTGCCCTCGGTATCCATGAAGATCTATAAGGGAGACCCCGAAGATGAACAAGTAAGAACTTTCTTCTCTTTTTTATTCTAAAGACTATTACTATCAATGATTAAATATTTTTTATACCGATACGCTAATGTATTGATCCTTCAATCATTGATATTCTTAAGGACAAAATGACTGAAAGTAGGGTTTAGATTTCATTCATAATTATAATATAATTGGCGGACTAGCTTGCTGATTGTAGCACTACAGTGTTGCTTTCTACCACTTACTTTGATAATATTGAAAGACAAAACCAGACGAAGATAGTCAAACTTACCGCAAGGACAATACGTTTTTGCTTTTCTTTAAACACTTAATCTCTTTTCGGAGATTTTTTAGAGTCTTCTAATAAAAACAATCCATACCGACTTGAACAGCCGCGGAGAACCTAACGGGTAACCGGGGCTCCGGCTCGACGTGCAGGAGAAGGAACGGGGTGGTTTTTAGTCAGTAAGAGTCTAACACTCCCTCCCGCCTCACCCAGGCGGGAGCAGTCATTCGATAGTTTTCTCCCCTTAAAAAAAAATACCGACTTGAACTCTTCATTCTTTATTTCCTCTCATTCCAGGTGGCGTCAAACGTTCGTATTGGAGATATCCTGAGCCTGGTGGTGTCGCTGGAGAAGCAGCGTCAGTTCGGTCTGCTGGTCTCCGAGTGCTCCGTGAGGGATGGACTGGGTTGGGCCGAGCAGAGTCTCATTGCAGATGATGGGTGAGAATTGGACCATTACACACTTCATCTCTCTTCTCTTGCTGCACTCTATTCTCTTCCTTCCCTTCTTAACTACCTTCTTCTGTTTGTACTCTCCCGAAAGAGAGTAAGCTATTGTACCTAAAACCCTACATCATGTTTTGTTTTCGGTACTTTATTTATCTAACCTCCCTACCTATATGTAACCTTTAATTACCTATCCGTTCAAAAATATATTTTTTAATTAGAACGAGGTTGTCGATGAATACTAAACAAATACCCTTGCAGATTTTTTCATTTTGGATGTTCTGACTGAATTCGTTGGCCGAGTGGTCACAAGTGCGACTGCCGGGCAAGGGGTCTCGGAATCGATTCCCGGGTCGGGCAAAGTACTACTGGGTTTTAAAAAAAATTCTCAGTGGTAGCACGGAGTCTGGAATTGTGCTCGATATATGGCAATAGGCTCATACCCCTTATTACATGGGACTCATAACATAAATAGTGAAAAGTGAGTGTTACATTGTACACTGGCATTAAGTGCCGTAATGTGCACCTCTGCCTACCCCTTCGGGGATAAAAGTCGTGATGTTATGTTTACGTTGACTATTTCAGGACGATTTTACAGACTTGCCTAAATATACAATACCTATTTTCGATCATCAACACAGTAGATCAAGAAAACTACCAATAAGTAACAAAATGTTCTCAACCATTCCAGGTGTCCCCTAGACGGTGAGATAATGGGCCAGTTTCAGTACTCAACCGATCGACAGACGGCCAAGGTCTCGTTCCCTGCTCACAAGTTCCCCTACACCGCCAGCGTGTACTACACCTGTGAAGTCAAACTGTGTGACCTCAAACATCCTACGGATTGCGTAAGTATAAGATTGAAGTTTAAAATAATGCGATAGGATTTTCCTACTATCCCTTGAATATTTAATATCTTGATTTAGAAAGAGTAAGGGCTCGTACACAAACTACGATGCGATGCAAGTTCGCAACGCAAAAAATTACGATGCGCTTTCCTGCGACAAGGCTTACCATTTCTTCGACGACCGTCAACCGTACTAAATATATTTTAAATTGAAAACTAGGTCGTGACATGGATCGTAAAAAGAAGTGTGCACTTCTGTTATTGCTTAGGAGATATAGGAAAAAGAAACAAAGAAGGTATTGGGAAGATAAGGTTTTGATGCGCGATGCGAATCAATTCGCAAGTTCTTGCGATGCGTAGAGGGAGTTCGCACATTTTGCACTCGCATTTTTCGCATTTTTTCGCATTTTTTCACTGCGATGCGACGTCGCATCGCAGTTTCGTGTACGAGCCCTAAAACTTTTAGTATTTGCTATATAATGACAAGAATAAATCGTCTCAAAAGATTCCCTAGTCGACGAGACTTAATTAAGTTAATTACTACGATTTCAAAATTGACGTCAATGCAGTTAAGATACCTTATGAATTACAACGATTTACACTAATTGGAAAAAAAAATACTGCTGGACTCTGTAGCTCCGACATAATTGTCCGGCTCAGTAATTTAAAAAACGAATCAAATATGGCTGACTGTTAACAACTAAAGACAATTTAAGATGTTCATCATGCCAACAACTGCTCATGTCAGTCGTCTGAACTATAAATTGCCTCTACATAAGAAGGTTTCCCATCATCTTTTGGTAAACTTATTAGAGTTAGATATCACAGTTAGAATAATTCAAGTTTATTATTAACTCGTCGAGTACCGTATTTATAGACACAATTAAAGAACAATAGGTTGCGGTCACCGGTGACCGCTTGGTGTTTGACAGTTTAAAGCACTGTTGCCCAGAAGCTGCCAAATTTGTAGTCCCTTAGCCGGCTCTTATGACATCAGCAGAAATAGTGGTGACAAACGAGGTCTCCATATCATATCAAAAGATTATAAGTGGTTTTTTGGTTGACTCAGGTTTCCTCACTATGTTTTCCTTCACCGTTTGTCAGTGGTGTCTAAAATAAGCTTAGAAAGTATATATAATTCGAAAAAAATCACATTGGTACTTACTTGCATCATGCTCATGCATTAGAAGCGGTCGTCTTAAACCTCCGGTCCACCACGATGTACATATCACATCTAAACATTTACTTTATTTTGACAGGAGCCGTGCGCCCACAAGCGCCGCGTGCGCCGTGACGATGAAGGGTCACCAGCCACTGTGGAGCTGTTCAAGGGCCTGTATGTAAACGAAGCCGACTCCCCGGATAATGACGAAGTTACTAGTGAGAAGGTTAGTTAATTAATTTAATATTAAGCCTAATTTACTCCGAGAGACCAATGTTACTACCTCTATATTTCTTGAGTATTTTTAAGTCCTTTTTAAACGTCAGCAACGATCTTTGTGGGTGGGCGGCACTGGTCACTCACACACATAGGCCTCGCCAATGGCACGCCACGGAACTCGGTCTTCAGCTCTTCTCATCCAACCACTGCCAGCCACCTTGGGCATATCGTCACTCCACCAACCTGGAGGACGCCCTACACTATGTTTGCTTAGACGCGGTCTCCATTCTAGAACACGTTTACCCCAACGGTTATCGGTTCTTCGACAAATGTGACCGGCCCACTGCCACTTCAACTTACTAATCCTTTGGGCTATGTTGATAACTTTGGTTCTCAGTCGGATCACTTCGTTTCGGATTCGATCCATCAAAGAGACTCCGAGCATAGCCCTCTCCATAGCTCGGTTACTTGTACGTTCTGTATCCTTTAGATAGAAATAAAAAGAATGGATCCTTTACCATCCTTTCCGAGAATCTTATAGCTATTACGGTTAAAATGCGATTTCTAATCTTAACAACTTAACTGTCGAAGGAGTCACATGAAATTATCTGGAGGCTGAAATTATCTGTACGTTTGAGGGTTGGGCACTGATAGTCGAAATACAGGCAATGCCTAGTTCGACTACAGAAGCTAAAATCATATACCTGTAAAAATATTGTAGCCAAACTATTGTTGATATATTGTATTAAGTGCTTAAGAATAAATAAATTATTATATATTATACGACTCACCATGAACTTTTATAATAAGTTCATGAGTCACATGTGACTCATTTTTGGTACAAGTTTGGGGTATATTTTTTAATATGAGCGTGGCAACAAATTCTAATAAAAACTACATAGACGTGTAGTAAATAACCTGACCTTTAAAAAAACTATGGCCGTGGAGTAATTGTAAATTTCATTGTATAGGGACAGTTAAATTGTTAAAAGGCCTAAGGCAGGTTCTTTTTTCCATTTACTAAATTGAAGGGTTTAAAGTAGTTTAAACTATATATTTATTTGTATAGTGAGTTCATTCTTTTCTATTTTACAGAAGGAAGACGAAATCTGCATTTCTCAGCGTAACTTCGCCATCGGAATTTGCATAGCGGGCGTCATTCTAATGATTTGTGTGATAGCCGCGATTGCTTTCATTCTGGCAAGGAGGCGAAACCCGAAGACGTACTCTAGGACAGGCAGTTCGTTATACAGTGGTCCCTACACGAACACTGGATACTCACATACCAGTTAAACTTGATTTTGGTACATGTTTTCAATGCAAATGATGTAAATACAACACTAAAAAATGTTCCCTTGGACTATAAAAAAGTTGATTTTTTCATAGAAGAGTATGAAAATGTCAAATGGTCTTCTGGACTATACGGATGATAGGGTCAATTTTTTTCTAGCTCCTAAACTATATCGTGTATTGTATGTCATTCTGCAAAGTGCCATCTAAATATTGGACATAATAGTAATATTTTTATAGTTTACACATTGGTTTCAAAAACAACGAATTTTGTAATTAAATGAGAAATCTAAATTATTTATGAAACCGTTTTTGGTAAATGTCAATCTCAGTCGCCATTTTGATTTTGAGATTGACATTTTAATTTTTTAATAATGTTGCAAATCGAATAATTGGAATCGAATACATTTTAATGTGTGTGAAAAAAATTATTAAAAATATTGAATAGTTGTGTTCCGTATCACAACGATTGAGTCATATTTTTAGTATTTAGTTTTTTAGTTTATGTAATTTTTTACCACGTGTATTAAATTTACCATTACAATAAAATAGAAAGGAGTGCATCTGTGTCAGAATTAAATAATGAAATAAGTATATTAAAATAACAAATATCAGATTTATACACTCCGAGAAACGTAGAAATATGTAAAAATAATGTGATAATGTGGTTTTTAAATGAGCTAATGTAAAATGTTTTTTTTATGATACAATATTTAAGAATATATTCAAAACTCAATTAGAAACAACATTTTCTCAAATATTTATAATAATAATAAAATTTTGTGATAATTCATTTGTTCGTATATACGTCGTGATTCGATATTTTTTTTATTAAACATTTTTATTTTTAAGTATTACACCGGTTGCCTTGCATATTACGTAAATATTTAGAAATAGACGACAATAGTCATTTTAGGGTGATTTTAAAGGCCTGTATGACTAGATTTTAATTAATTTAAAAGTTCCTTAATTTTTTAGTTTAGGGAATTTTATTTTTTTACTTTATTGGAACGTAGCAAGTCATCTTTACCTGTCTTAAAGTTGAGAATGAACACTTACATCCAATTTAACTTTGAATGAAATTTTGAAATTTTTCTCAGAAGAAAAATATTTTTGAAAATTCCTTTTTTTACTAATATCTAGTTTAAAACAGGCCTTTTCTATTCTGTTAAGGTGGCGGGAACAGGTTTTCTTCTACGCAGTTCATACAAGTTTTAGTTTTCTGACTTTTTTAGTTACGTAACTAAAAAAACGTATAAAAAGTCGAACTAAAATTAAAATCGACTACAGTAATTGGACAAAATGGATGCCATATTTTTTAAGTTTTATGTTAAGTTTCCTTTCTGCCAGTAATTCCGTCCAAACGGTGCTATTTTAATTGTTTAAATAATTGGCTTTTTTATGTTGCTTTTTGCTTTTTTCTAGCGTCATTGTCTATTGAAATTAATAATTTATTTTTACACTGGAGAGTTATACAAGTACTCAATTACAAATTACGGACGGTTTAGAAAAAAATATTGAAAATCTTTTGATAAATAATCAGATTATTATCTGTTAGAAAAAAAAACATTTAAAACACTTAAAACATTATTTTGTAAAAAGTATTCGCTTCATATAAGGCATGTTTATGTGTTTGACATTACATTTGTTTTTTTTTTGTAAAAATAAAAAGGTTGTGTACTATTTTAATAGACAATGACTTTTTAAGTTTTATTTTTCTATGTATTTGTAAAGTTACAACGAATTTCGATATACGTTTCATACTACCCCATTGTTCGTATTATTTTTATTTTATTTTTTTACTAATAATAATAATAATTATTATAATGATGTGTAACTAGTTTAATACAATGGGGTTCTGGAACGATACCGAGCGGTAAGACAGTGTACGAATTTTTTTTAACAAATATACTGACTTGATAAGATTTTTTTGTTTTATTTTCAATAAAAAGGTTTGCAAATATTGTTTCTGAGTTCAATCAACCCTGTAAATTTAAGACAGACGGTAAGAGCACACAAAATTGTGATAAAAAGTTGAAATGCACCGAAAATACATTTTACAGTCAGGTAATTATATTTTTAATGAAAATCATCAATCAATCGTGTTCTTGTTTACCTTTATTATTTTACATGCACTATTTAAATCATAACGAGTACACGAGAGGGCACCACAAGTACCTACCACCATCGCCATCTGTATAAGACTGCCCGGACTACATTACAGGTTCATAGGCTAATTTATTATTATGCTATAGGTTGAGTGAGTGAAATTAAGACGACACTTAGAGAAAACTCAACGTATAATATAGTCATTACATACGAAGCACAAAATACACGACAGAACATGCATGGATATAAAGAAGATAAAACCGTTACAGAACAAATTATGAACTAGTCGGTGCGCTGCTCGACCGCGCGTGAAATTGAAAATGTTCCAAATGTAGATGTTACGCCATCTAGCGACAAAATGGCAGTTGAGATCATCATCCATCCACCTTAATAGATCTCGCGTCATTGAATACCTGCGGCGCGAGCGCGGACTAGTGTCGAGCTAGAGATGGGGTGTGCAACGTTAAGTTAGTCTTACTAACGCCTGTTATAATGCACTATCTAAATCATCAACGTCTTATCAAATGTGTGAGTTTAAACTAAAATCTCAGGTTTTGTTGTCAAAAATTGGGAAATCATAATAAAAATACCAAATTATTTGTGTATGTATATATTCGCCATTCAAACAAATACTCAGTGTATACAATATAATAAAAAATTACGCATAAACGACGTACGAACATTAAATAAATTAATTTCAATATATCTCAGTTTTAAAAGCACATAATTATATTTTACAATTACATAATATACATTACAACTATCGTGAGACATATAAAATTAATTAAATAATATGACTTCAGTAACTCTTCGAGCGTGCTCGACTCATTTCAAGTCACTAGTGGGACCCATAATCAACCTACGTCGAAACTTGTCGAAGCATCCTCGAAAAGTAACTCGATATGGGCATAGTATCGAATTAATTATATTGGTATTTTGATGAGAATGGTATCTTTACACGCACACCAGTGGTGATAGAAATTAAGAGACTACGCACACAGTTGTAACTACTGAACTATTAACAAAAGAAAGGTATTTATATTATTTTCACTACTTATTTAATTGTGCATAGTCCCATGCAAAATGGAACAATGTAATTAGTCCGTAAGTTAGGTAATGAAAAAATATTAGACACGTATTTTTTTATTTTGTCGTATAATAAAACAATACTTAGATAAAACGAATCAAAGTTTAGGAGTGGGAGCTAAAACGTCATTTCTACGTATGAAACGTAAATGGAAGTGACGTCATGCGACGTTTCAAATCAATATATCGTCGAAAGTATTTGTGTCTGTGAGAAAATAAAAAATACGTGTCTAATGTTTTTAAATAATCTACCAGACGGACATTGGAATAAAAATTAGTCATCTACCCTATACCAAACTTGTGTACTTAATTGCTGACAATATCGAAATACATAATTTAGGTTGTTCGCGTTAAGAATGCAGTGAGTTATCATTGCAACCTTAAGTTAAAGGTGTATTCACATTGGTCTGATATTCAAACAAATTATATTTTAAAAGATTGAGTTAATCTATATTTTATACCTATATATATAAAAATGAAACCCGTTTCCCGTTGTCACGCCATAACTTGGGAACGGCTAGACCGATTTGGCTGATTTTTTTTTTGTATTTGTTATCGTCATAAGAAGGTTCTTAATACAGAAAAAATGCTAAAAATCCTACGGGAACGGGAGAAAACGGGATTACGCGTACGAAGTCGCGGGCAGAAGCTAGTATATTTATAAAAATACACGTAAAAGTTTAAAATTAATTTAGGGGACGGGGCTAGGGTGACGGACAATGATAAATGATTGCATTCTTAACGCGAATGAACTATAGTTACCTGAGACCTCGTGCATTAAAGCATATCTACACTAAATTGAAACTTAACAATTACTAAATCGTTCAGTCTTAACGATACACTGTACTTATTATAAACAAGTTCATACAAAAGACATATGGAGTGACGGACTATACAGAATGTTCCGTTAAACGAGCAAACGATAATTTAATTATTGTGTTTTCTCACTCGACTTACTCACGTAAATGTTTGACGAGGAACTCGACTAGTTTCAAGCCATATTAGAGGCTTATCTTAGTGAGCATTCCGCGAAATCTCGAAAGTTAGAAATCCTTACTAATATTATAAATTTGAAAGTGAGTTTGTTTTTTTGTTCCGCTTTCACGCCGTAACTACTAAACCGATTGCTTTGAATTTTTGCAGACATAAAGTTAGAAGTCTGGATTAAATAATAGGGTAGTCTTTATTCCGGAAAAATTTGATATTCCCGAGGAAAAACAAAAGTATTGGTATAGATGGCGCTGTGTGTATTGGTATATGTCACATAGAGCTACTTTTTATCCTTTTGTGACGCGAACGAAGCCGCGGGTAAAAGCTAGTAATAATATAAACAGAGTAAAGTAAGTAAGTAGTTAACCGCGCATAGCGTTTGCAAACAAATTGTTGTTCCGGGTCTGGGTGTCATGTGTATGTGAACTTGTATGTTTGTAACCGCACGCACGACACAGGAGAAAATCCTAGTGTGGGGCAACGTTTTTTTTTATTCCTAAGTAGATTCTAAATCGGCTGAATTCTATTCGACTGTATTCTACATGAAGTGGTGTCTAGCAGTGAAAGACTTTTTGATTACAGTTTCGGCCGTCACACTTTCGATACTTCTGATTAGCTATATCGACAATTAGAATCGTTCAATATAATACAATTTAGCCAAATCTCAGCCGAATAATTTTATTTTAATTACAAAAAAAAATTAAGTTTTCTTGACATGAAAATCGAATGAGCGACAAATAGCAGTACAGTAGATATACCAGGCATAGTCCCCAAAATGTTTTTGAATTACATTTTTAATTATTCACATGTAGACGTGAAATGTAGTCTGTTTAAACGTCACTCGTTTAACGAAACATCCTGTATACAATACTATAAAAAAATGTAACTGCCATACTTACAGAATAATCACAGAAACGTCAGGCATCTACGGTTAAATTCTCAATACTTTTTTTACATAATATTTTAGTTTATAATCTAACATCTCCCCCTACTAAAAAACCCTCAAAGCAGTATTCTAAATGTTTGGACGCGTTTAATTCCCGATCTTCTGATCCCAATTAAATAATAGAAAGACATAACATAACATCACGCCTTTTATCCCCGAAGGGGTAGGCAGAGGTGCACATTATGCCACTGTACAATGTAACACCCACTTTTCACTATTTATGTTATGAGTCCCATGTAATTGGGGGTGAGTCTATTACCATATACCGGGCACAATTCCAGACTCCGTGCTACTACTGAGATTTTTTTTAAAAACCTAGTAATACTTTGCCCGACCCGGGAATCGAACCCGAGACGGCTTACAGGAGAAGTGTTTGTTACACTTAGAAGAAGGTATATTAATTAACCGACTTCCAAAAAAGTGGGGTTTGAAGTCGGTTGTTTTAACGTAGTTTATAAAGGAATTATTGCGTTGTATGATTCGTTTATCGACGAAAGCTATAGGCTAGGAAAAGGAACCGAATAATGGATAAAACTGCACAGGAGTCGAATATAACACCCATTTTTAACCAGTTATGTTGCGAGTCCCATGTAAAAAGGGATTGGACGTAAAATTTTCTTAAACGGTATTTGATATGTCTATTTACTTTACATATATAACATCACGCCTTTATCCATCCACCATTCACAATTGGGGCTACCGTATTTTGTCGCAAATGTAGGTTTTTTGTCCAATCGCTGCAGATGTCAAATATTGATCGCCCAATGAAGTGACACCAGCTAATAGGGTAGTTTTCAAAATAACATAACATCACGCCTTTTATCCTCGAAGGGGTAGGCAGAGGGTCATATTATACCACTGTACAATGTAACACCCACTTTTCACTATTTATGTTACGAGTCCCATGTAATAGGGGGTGAACCTATTGCCATATACCGGACACAGTTCCAGACTCCGTGCTACTATTGAATATTTTTTAAAACCCCAGTAATACTTTGCCCGATCCGGAAATCGAACCCGAGACTCCTTGCCCGGCAGTCGCACTTGCGACCACTCGGCCAACGAGGCAGTTTTGAAAATGTTATTTTAATATCCGTTTGCTAGATCATGTTAAAACATTAGACACGTATTTTTTTTCTTTTGTGACAAAATGAAATACTTTCGACGATATATTGCTTCAAAACATCGTGTGACGTCACAACGTGGTACAAAATGTACGGCCGCCGTAGGACCTCCGACTCCTAAACTTAACTCCAACTTATCTAAGTATTGTAAATTTATACGACAAAATAAAAAATACGTGTCTAATATTTTTTCATTATCTGACGGACTAATCCTGTCATGTACCCTATTCCCTATTGGACGAAAAGTGATAGTTTCACACTAGCGCCATCTAATGAGTTAAAATATAGCCCTCAATAGGTGTCTATTTATGTTACTAATCACAATGTAATTGGGGGAGAACTTATTACCGTTTATAAATCCTTCATTTTTATATTAATAAATCTTTTATAAATGGGAGCTAGCCTATCACTAAATACCTCAGCATAAATCCGTCTTAATTCATCATCGTCATCATCAGTCCATAACAAGGTTTTATTATAACTCTACGTAACAAACAGACAATACCAATCTATATATAAAACTGGAGTGTTTGTGAACTCATCTCCGGGACTACTAGGCCAATTTGAAAAATTCATTTTTGTGATGAATAGTTCATTTATCGAGGGACACTATAGGCTATAAAACATCACGCTACGACAAATAGGAGCCGAGCAGCGGGTAACACTGCGCCGGAGTAGCTAGTATGTAGTATAACAGTTCAAGCACAATTCTTATCGAATTCTTCGTCCTACAAGATTTAAACGGCTAAGTCACTAAGCCGTTGACAAATTCATTCTAAACTAGACCTTACGTAGTTAATATTATGGCCGTTTTTCGTCCATCTGTACCGTCATCAGTGAGTCTTCTGGGTGGATTTCTAATATGGCTTCTGTTCCATCGTTGAAGGGGAATGAGACGCTGCCATCGATTACTAGGCCTAGAAGAATAGAAATAGCAATTATTACTATTTAAATAGTTTCTACGTAGAAAGAAATTGATTATTATATAGTTTGGTGCAAAGGATAATACGTAAATAATGTCCAGCGTATTCAATGATAACGACCAGAACATTAAATGAAAACTTTATATTTCGCCTTTTAGCCTTTCTTTTGAGGGGGGAAAATTATCCAATGACTTCTCCCGCCTTGGTGACGCGAGAGGGAGTGTCAGACTCTTACTGACTGAAAACCACCCCGTTCCTACTCCTGTACTTCAAGCCGGAGCCCCAGCAACCCGTTAGGTCTTCCGCGGCTCCGTATCAGCATCAGCCCTGTTGGACCCCATCTGTGGTGGTCTGTTGGCTCCTTGAGGCGTGCGCGGAACGCTTGGCCCTGGTGGCCGGAGATCGTCTCGTGATCCCCGACGCCCGGAGTGTCTCTCGCGACGGCTTGGGCGTGAGGAGGTTCATATCCCAACGCGCTCCGCCTCCTCCTTAGCTAACTGGAGGAAACGACATCCCAGTCCCCCTCGCTCCGTACCATGGTCTGAACCAGGGCCGGACGCGAGAGGCCGCCGTCGCCGATCACGTCTCTTAGGATACGGCGGTGCCCAGACTAAGCAGGGTACACCGCCACTGTATGCTCCACCGTCAGTTAATAAGCCTAGGCAATACGTATCTATAGAGAATAATTTGTTTTGGATTCTGTAATCGGGATGGAAACAGGAATCATGTATTTGTACGAACGAGGTGAAATGAACTTACCCGCATCAGTACAATGCGACTTGACTTTAACCGAGCTCGCCTTGTCTCGTACTTTGAGTCCGCGGGGAGTGGGCCACTCCTCGAACGTTATGTATTCACGCACTGAATACGCTAGCTGGTCGGAATCTGAAACAAATTGTTGGATTTTTAATTTATTGTTATTATTTTTGACAACAAAGCATTGGTACACGCATGCAGGAGAAAATCTTAGTGTGAAGCAATTTATTTATTTATTTATTTATGATTGATGACTGTTAATGAAGCGAAAGAGGTATGTAAGAATCGTAGTAATTAGCGTTCCTTAGTCTCTGCCTACCCCCATGGGAGAGAAGCGTGAAGTTATGTATGTATGAAGCAATTTAATAATAAAAATATCATGCAGTGGCCGTATCGTTAGCCGAGTAGTTGCGTCACTGCATTTTAAGTTGCGCTTAAATATAGTTCTGTCACTATAAATACTTCGTAAAATTTCAGAGAAGACACAATATTTAAGTATACCTTAAGATTGTCAAGCCTTTCAGGATTCGGACGTTAGTATCAACGTCAATGCTACTTTCAAAGTCAAAGTCACAATCAAAGTCAAAATCAAAGACAAACTTAAAGTCAAAGTCAAATCATTTATTTCAACGCGATTAATATCAAACGCTTTTAAACACATGACAGAGTACGGATTAGTTTTTTTTAAGGGGGAAAAATCATCGAATGACTGCTCCCACCTGGGTGAGGCGGGAGGGAGTGTCAGACTCGCTCCCACCTGGGTGAGGCGGGAGGGAGTGTCAGACTCTTACTGACTAAAAACCACCCCGTTCCTTCTCCTGCACGTCGAGCCGGAGCCCCGGTTACCCGTTAGGTTCTCCTACGGATTAGTTTAGCTTCTTATTAAAATAATTATAATTACCTGCAGCGAACATGAGTTTCTGGTTATATTTCTCGGTGACTTCGCGCGCCTTCTCCATGGCCGTGTCCAATGGGACCTTGTACTCCTCGTGGAGGATCTTCATCAGCTCCTGCACTGATTGCGTGCGGAGACAGTTTATACTGGAATTGACAATATTGCATTAATTTATTTGGAATACTTTCTTTGTTTAATTAAGATTATGGGATTGTTTCACATTATAACTAATCGCAACGAAACCCCGTTCGGCGCTCTGATTTGCCGCAGCATAGCAGTTAACCTCTCGCGTGTTTCTCGTACATACGGGTGTACGAGAGAGCTGAGTTCCCATCGCGCAATTGTACACACGGGTGTACGAGAAACGCGCACCGATTGGATATTTTTTCTGTGACGTATATTTTCAAGTTTGCAACCCGTTCTTTATTTGATTGAACAGAATAGTTAATTCGCTTTTCTATTAAAATATTTACCCGTGTGTACGAGAACGCGCGTTTACCCGTGTGTACGAGAGGCGCGCGAGAGGTTAATCAGGATAAAGCCTGCCTGTATACCAAATTTCATCAAAATCCGTTCAGTAGTTTCTGCGTGATTGACGGACAAACATCCAAACAAATTTATATATTTTAAAACTGTAGAAGTTTTAATTCAGTACATTGAAAATATTAAACAAGATAGACACCAAGAAAGTGATTTAAAAAAAATTGTCTGTCTGTATGTTCACGCATCACGCAAAAACTACAGGTCCGATTACGATGAAACTTCCTATGATTATACTTTAATATCCTGAGCACAACACTGGGTACTTTTTATCCCGAAAAAGTATATAAACAAACAACAAACTTAATTGTGCTGCTCAATCCTTAGACATAGTTACTGTACCAAACGCAAATATAAGTAGGTCGAATGTTAGTTTACCTGCAGTGGACTTTACGCTGCGGTGCTGGGAGAAGCTAAACATAACATCATAACATCACGCCTTTTATTCCCGAAGCGGTAAGCAGAGGTGCACATTATGCCAATGTACAATGTAACACCCACTTTTCACTATTTATGTTATGAGTCCCATGTAATAAGGGGATGAGTCTATCGCCATATACCGGGCACAATTCCAGTTTCCGTGCTATTACTGATAATTTTTTAAAAATCCAGTAATACATTGCCTGACCCGGGAATCGAGACTCCTTGCCCGGCAGTCGCACTTGCGACCACTCGGCCAACGATTCGCAGAAGCTAGAATATAGTAATTAGTGTGTTACCTAAAGTGCCACGAAGTGCTCCCAGTCCCAGTAGTGACACAGAGTCCGGAGCTCTTCGTGTGAGACCAGGCGCCGTTGTCTATCTGTAGCCGGAGCAATGACACGCGAGATGTTACACTCTCCCCTATAAATACCTGCAAATTTAAATATAAACATTATTAATAACACGATTTTTGTATTGTTTTCATTCAAATACGTAAAATCATTGAATGACTGCTCCCGCCCCGGTGAGACGGGAGAGAGTGTCAGACTCTTACTGACTAAAAACCACCCCGTTCCTTCTCCTGCACATCGAGCCGGAGCCCCGGTTACCCGTTAGGTTCTCCGCGACACGATTTTTGTATAGGCTCTTAAGCCTTTCAGTCACGAAGTCTGAAGGAATTAACATCGAGGATGTCCGACTAGTTTCGAACTAAACCGGGAATCATAATCGTGTCCAAGTCGAACATTATCGAAGCTTTTATAATAACTATCGTGAGACATTATATTGTAGGCGGTACGAAGTCTACCGGGATAGCTAGTTAGGTATAAAACTTACCTCATTAAGCGCCAGGAAAGGTAACACTTTAGTGGCGAGCGTGGGACTGACGGGCGCGTCCTTTGAATTGGAGGCGATCTGTCGAGAGTTCATGTTGTATGCGTCCACCATCTCATGGGTGTTCTGGACTGGAGGGTATCTGGATAAACAATAAACTAATATTATAAATCGGAAAGTGAGTTTGTTTGTTTGTTTGTTCCGCTTTCGCGCCGTAACTACTAAACCGATTGCTTTGAATTTTTGCAGACGTGAAGTTAGAAGTCTGTATTAAATAATAGGGTACTTTTTATCCCGGAAAAAATTGATATTCTCGAGGGAAAACGAAATTATTGGTATAGATGGCGCTGTGTGTATTGGTATATGTCACATAGGCTACTTTTTAACCTTTTGTGACGCGAGCGAAGCCGCGGGTAAAAGCTAGTAAACAATAAATGTCATAAGCGTTAATAACTTTTAATTAATTATCTCAAAGGTTTCAAAGTCCGATTACTCAAATAACACAACATCACGCCATTTATCACCAACGGGATTTACCGGACACATTTCCAGACTACGTGCTACTACTGAGATTTTTTGAAAAAAACCAGTAATTGTTTACCCGGCCCGGGAATCGAACCCGAGACTCCACTGCCTGGCAGTCACACTTGCGACCACTCGGCCAACGAGGCAGTCGCGTCTAATATTTTTAAATAATGTACAAGACGGGCATTAAAATAAAAATTAGTCATCTACAGTATACGGATAAGCAAGTCAATTCATTTTAAGACGTAAATTGACTAGAATAAGGTCGTAATAGGGTGTCTACTAGGGCTACTGACTTCTACCACATAACATCACGCCTTTTATCCCCGAAGGGATAGGCAGAGGTGCACATTATGGCACTTAATGCCACTGTACAATATAACACCCACTTTTCACTATTTATGTTATGAGTCCCATGTAATAGGGGGTGAGCCTATTGCCATATACCGGACACATTTCCAGACTCCGTGCTACTACTGAGGTTTTTACAAACCCAGTAATACTTTGCCCGACCCGGGAATCGAACCCGAGACCCGTTGACCGGTTGCCCTTGCGACCACTTGGCCAATGAGGCAGTCCTTGACTGAATTTTGTGATTTTTTTTTTAATTGAAGAATTGAATGACTTCTACCAACCTGCAAAAATGCAGTGTGTGTAGATCTACCGGGGTGATGGTCTCCAAGAGCTGCGGCTCCGAGGTGACGGTCGTACGTATCCTGGAGCGACGCATCCATCTGAACCTACCCTGCAACATTAATATATAATAGGTATTATTTATTTTGTACACGTGACATAATAAAACATTTATTACTGTTTAAGTTTGGATGCCCACTGCTCAATAGTTTTCAACACTTTAGATTTTTTTTTATAGCATAAGCCGGTAAACGAGCAGACGGATCATCTGATGGTAAGCAATAGGCGTCGCCCATAGACATCCAAAACACCAAGGCGTTACAGGTGCGTTACCGGCCTTTTGGGGATTGGGAATTTGAGGATTGTGAAGGATTCGGGGATTCGGGAGACTAGGGAGGGGGGTAATTGGGCCTCCGGTAACCGGTAACTCACACAACGCAAGCATTGCTTCACGTCGGTTTTCTGTGAGGCCGTGGTATCATTCCGGTCGAGCCGACCCATTCGTGTCGAAGCATGGCTTTCCCACACTTGAATTAGTAATGTAATCATTACAGTCCTTACCACAAGGGCACTCTGGACCAGTGCCTATCCTCAGGGGGATTTCTACACCGGCAATCGGCTGCCCCTTAACGTGTAGCAGGTTCGACTCCCGCACGGAGTAAATCTTTATTTGATACACAAATTGTTGTTTCGGGTATCATGTATGTGAACTTGTATGTTTGTAAATGTACAGTCAAAGGTCAAAAGTCCACTGCCACCGTAAGACTACTATCGGTTGCGCTGCAGCGCTTATACACACATGCACACGCATATTTGTATCCGTGTGCGTACGCGTGCGTGTGTTTATGCGTACGCACGCGTTTTTATGCACATCAATATGAAATTACTTACGCATTGCCGTGTACATCACTCACGGTGGACTTTTGACCTTTTACTGTACCAACGATACAGGAGACTGGATGAAATAGAGGGGATCCTAAGGGAACGGATAAACTGGGATTACGCGTACGAAATCGTAAGCCGAAACTAAAATACAATAGAAAAAAAAACAAATAAATAATAAGGTACCAACTTTATACCAACCTCTTTGATCGCCTGGAACGCACCCTTCACGTCGTTGGAACACCAGGTGGGTAGACAGAGGCGTCCTACCGACTTCTGTGGTGAGCTGTTGAAGCCTATCACTGGTTTACTGTGAAAATAAAAATAATGTGATAAGTTCGACTGCTGGAGAATGAATCTCGGAATTCCAGGGTCGGGCAAAGTATTACTAGTTACTTAGAATTACTGTTTTTTTTTAATTGACAGTAGTAGCACGGAGTCTGAAATTGTGCCCGATATATGGCAATAGGCTCACCCCCTATTACATGGAACTCATAACATAAATAGTGAAAAGTGGCTGTTACATTGTACTGTGGCATTAAGTACCGTAATGTGCACCTATGCCTACCCCTTCAGGGGTAAAAGGCGTGATGTTATGATGATGACTCTTCTGTTCATTTTAATGAGACTAATACTTATGCCATATAGGGGATCCGTTCAAGTTCTTAATGATCTACATAGTTCTACTTACTTAGCGTCTCTGACTCTAGAGGCTGCTAAAAGGAAGGTGCCATCCCCACCACATGGCACCACGACGTCGCACCAACTTATAATATCATCGTTGTATGTTAATCTGAAAATTAAAAAAAGATAATTAAAATATGTTAAGTATGGGAGAGCCATGCACGAATGGGCTGGCTCGAGTGATATCACGGTCGAGCAAAACACCGACGTGAAACAAAGCTTGCGCTGAGTTTCGTCGTGTGAGTGAGGCTACCGGAGACTTATTTACCTCCCTGTAATGACCCAATTAATTACCCCCCTTCTCAATCCCCGAATCCCCAACAATCCTCAAATTCCTAATCCCCAAAAGGCCTATAACGCACTTGTAACGCCTCTGGCGTTCCAGGTGTCCATGGGCAATGCCGATTGCTTACCAACCGTCTGCTCGTTTACCGGCTTATCCCATAAAAAAATGTTAGTAAACCTTTGACTGCTGACAGAAAACAGTTGAAGGGAAACCTTTCGGTAGCACCGGTCACCAGAAACCTACGTTGGCGGTTGACATGTTAAGAAGGATCGGTGTCATCAATCATCATCATCCAGAACTGATCCCTTCCATTCCCGATCCCAAAAGTCCCATCCTTAACCCCTAAAAAAGCCGGCAATGGTATCTGTAACTCACCTAGTGTTACGTGTGCCCATAGATGGTTCTGATCGCTTACCATCAGGTGATCGGTCTGCTCCATTGCCGCCCTGATTCCCATAAATGAATATTTCTAAACTAGCTGTCGCCCGCGATTTCGTCCGCGTAGATTATGATTCCTGTTTAATCCCATGGGAGCATTTAATTTAAAGCGATATACTACGACCTAAGTCAGCCCATACACAGCTTGTATACCAAATGTCATCAAAATCCGGTCAGTAGTTTCAGCGTGATTGACGGACAAACATCCTAACAAATTTTTTTCGTGTCAGAGAACCATGCTTCGGCACGAATGGGCCGCCTCGACCGGAGTGATACCACGGGCTCATAGAAAACCGATGTGAAACAATGCTTGCGTTGTGTTTCGTCGTGTGAGTGAGGTTACCGGAGGCCCAATTACCCTCCCTTCCCCAATCTCACGAATCCCTTCAGGGATTTCCCCGACGATCCTCAAACTCCTAATCCCCAAAAAGCCGGTAACGCACTTGTAACGCCTATGGCGTTCCAGGTGTCTATGGGCGAAGCCTATTGCTTACCATCAGGTGATCCGTCTGCTCGTTTACCGGCTTATGCCGTACAAAAAAAATAATAAACTTTTAAATTCATAATGTTACTGTGATTTCTAAGTTAAAGTCCTCACCTGCTCGCCATTTCCACTTTAAGTCCCATATCTCTGAGGCTCTTCGCTACATTCTCTTCAAATGCCTTCTGTTGCTTGTGTGTCTTCAGCATGGAGTCGTAATCAGAACCTCGTGTTCTAAGCACTTTCTCTAGTTCCGATTCTGATAGATTCTCGTGGCAATGTCTGGAAAGAGCAGAAACATATTGTTATTATTAACATAACATAACATCACGCCTTTTACTTTTTTTGATTTTTGGCAGTAATCGTTTCTGTAGATTTTGGTTTCACTTGTATATTAATTGTATTATATACACCATGCTGCGCTCCGAACAGCGTTACCGTAGGTGTTTAATTAGTACGTACTATAACGGGCTGGTGCTGAAAATCAGCGCCGTGGGCTCGAGCTTCTGTGCCCGGTCCATGGTATTAAGCTGAGCTCCAGCCTTTTGCGCAGTGACGCACCATAGGCTTTTTTGTGTGTTCCTAAATTTTTGTTGTGTGTTTTGACAAAATAAATGGTTTTTCTTTCTTTTTTTCTTTTATCCTCCAAAAGGGTTAGGCAGAGGTACAAACTTTACGGAGACCGGCCAGCAACGCTCTCTGATTAACTTGAACTTTTCAAACTACGACCCGATGGCCGATTACCAAGCGTGGACTACGGCAAACCTTCTTAATGTAAAGGAGACTCTAGGTCCAGCAGTGGCCTGTCACAGGGTGTCCATTGATTGTTGAATTCTTTTTTTTTCTTTTAATAGGAACAAGGAACTTTTCACCAACGGCTTTACGTAATAAAAACTTAAGTGTGGGAGAGCCATGCTTTGGCACGACCGCAGTGATACCACTGCCTCACAGAAAACCGACGTGAAGCAACGCTTGCGTTGTGTTTCGTCGTGTGAGTGAGGTTACCGGAGGCCCAATTACCCTCCCCTTCCCCAATCTCCCCAATCCCTAAATCCCCAACGATCCTCAAACTCCTAATCCCCAAATGCCGGTAACGCACTTTTAACGCCTCTGGTGTTCCAGGTGTCCATGGGCGACGCCGATTGCTTACCATCAGGCGATCCGTCTGCTCGTTTACCGGCTTATGCCATAAAAAAAATAATAATAATATAATGCATTATCAATGAACACGTAGGATGAAAATTATTCATTACCACATTTAATTGAAGAGAAAAACAAACAATTTGATCTGAAGAAAACATCATCTAAACAAATATTGTAATGACGTATATCACGTCCACAAAAACATAGGATTTCCACTCTTATATCAAAGCAATTAAGGTTTAATGTTACACTGACAGTAAATACAGCATATGTTTAACATGGTCTTGGGTATTAACTTTCATTACGCGTGTAAGTATTATTTTAAAAGATAATGTCATACATATTTTGCTTTCGTGTATTTTAACGTCATCATGAAAAACGCATCTTTTCGTAGATATCTGTAAGACAACATAACATTATGCTTTTATTTTACTTAACACAAACAAGTTTCTTTCTTTCTACCTCTATATTTAAATTAACTAAAAATCGCGGGTTACTCACGTGAATATACGTGATATAATAAGCACAGAACGAAACTAGTAACGAAACAGAGGTAGAACCTAGTAGTTCGCAACTAGTAGAGCTTTTCTTCACAAGAGTAACCCGCGATTTTTAATTACATAACATAACATCACGCCTTTTATCCCCGAAGGGGTAGGCAGAGGTGTACATTATGCCACTGTACAATGTAACACCCACTTTTTCACTGTTTATGTTATGAGTCCCATGTAATAGGGGGTGAGCCTATTGCCATATACCGGGCACAATTCCAGACTTCTTGCTACTACTGTGAATTTTATGAAAAACCCAGTAATACTTTGCCCGACCCGGGAATCGAACCCGAGACCCTTTGCCCGGCAGTCGCACTTGCGACCACTCGGCCAATGAGGCACGCAATGAGACGATTTTTAGTTAATTAAGTTTTTATTTATTACAAATACTCTATCAATTATGGTGCCAGCAGAGTACTATATTTGTAACCATCCCTTCTGCTCGCGTAGGTGTCCTAAGAACCAACTAAGGGCTTACATATTTGACAGAGATCAGGGAAGAGTCATCATCATCATCATCAATAGCCTATAAGTGGCCACTGGTCAGCAAAGGCCTCGCACGGAGAAGGTTTGATCATTAATCACCACGCTTGCTCAATGCGGGTTGGCGGCCCGCATTATGTTATGTAATACTACCTTCTGCCCGCGACTTCGTACGCGTAATCCCATTTTTTCCCGTCCCCGGTTCGAACCGTCGTCGTCACCGTTCGTGATTTTCGGTAAAATGTAAAAAAAAAGTGTTGGTTAAAAAGTATCCTATGTCGGTCTCCTGGCTCTAAGATACCTCCCTAACAATTTTCAGCCAAATCTATTCTGCCGTTCTTGAGTTATAAGTGGTGTTAACACGACTTTCTTTTATATATATACTAGCTTTAACCCGCGGCTTCGCTCGCGTCACAAAAAGATAAAAAGTAGCCTATGTGACTATCCATCCCTTCAACTACCTTCAGTTAAAAAATCACGTTAAGTACCTCCGTTTTGCCGTTTAAGACAGGCAAACAAACAAATAGCTGTTCCCTCGCGTGGAATTCGGTTATATCGCGCTTTTTAGATTTTTCCATGGGAATGAGAAGTTCTGCCGCGGTAAAGCCTTGCTTTTCCAGGACTCAAACTACCTTTATATCAAATTTCTTCAAAATCCGTTCAGCCGTTTAGCGTGAAAGAACAATAGAAGGAGTTATTTTCGCATTACCACAAATACCATCCTCCCGTTTTAATTTAAAAGACTTCTATATCCTATAAGGGTTTCATTTGCAATGTTAAACTAAAACTGAGTGGTAAACTATATACGTTTTATTATCGAAAACCTAACTACTTTAGACATCTACTTAGAAATAAATCACTTCACTAATCTAACCTAATTAATATACAGCTAATGTATCAATCAACGTAAACAATGAACAAAGCGACTTAAAACGACGAAAAAAAACTACTTTAGATAATAAAATAATATCTTCCAACAAAAAATATCACTTGACTAATCAAACCTACAGAGCGGACGAATAAAAATCAATAATAGTGCTAGATGCGTACACCGAAATATAATTGTTTCGAATTCGGAAGCTCGGAATCCATACTTTCGCCGGTAACGAAACCATAGCGCCATCTAACTCGATCCTAAACGTCATCTATCGAGCGTTGAAACAACAGCGTACAATATATTTGCTAATTGTTGAGTATTGTTGCCACTATGGTTTCGTGGACCTACCTTTAACAACCTAAAACCTATAAAACACACAATATAATGTAAAATGGTTGGAACCAACATTTAAAAGCGAAAAGTACTTAAAAAACAACGCTACCCCGTTTTATAAACACTCAGCGCCATCAATCGCCAAGTAGCGTAACTACTACATAGACACCAATTTCGTGTACCTTCAACAACCTAAAATCTATAAAATACACAATTCAATGTAAAATGGTAGGAACCAAAATTTAACTCGTCGAATACCGGTTTTATAGACACAATTAAAGAACAATAGGTCGCGGTCACCGGTGACCGCTTGGTGCTTGACAGTTTAAAAGCGAAAAATACTTAAAAAACACAACGTTACCACGTTTTTAAAAATGACACATAAAACAGCAAATAAATGAGTCGAAAAGTGCATCGAATAAGTGTAGATTAACACCAAATAAGCGCCATAGATTACCTAAAGCGTGAAGTTTCCAATTAGTAGGTAATTCGTTGAATTGTTTTAAATGGCATACAGCGCCATCTATACGAATACACACAGCGCCATCTATACTAATATTTTTATTTTCCCTCGGGAATATCACATTTTTCCGGGATAAAAAGTACCCTATTATTTAATCTGGACTTCTAACTTTACGTCTGCAAAATTTCAAAGCAATCGGTTTAGTAGTTACGGCGTGATAGTGGAACAAACAAACAAACAAACAAACTCACTTTCAGATTTATAATATTAGTAAGGAAAGGATGTAGATTGGTAAAATGTATCTACTTATCTCTTTGAAAAGCAAAAAGCATAATATCAAAGAAACTCGTGACAATAGAGATGCGTATAATCGACGTTTGTTTTTCCTGTTCTAGCGTTATTTCAGTACACATTGTATGTTTGTTGTATTCATTGAGATTTACTTGTAATAACAGAGCTGATAACAATAATTTATAAACATGTCAATGGGGATGATGACAGGGTATGAAAATTAAAAATATAATTAGTCCGTAAGTTAGGTAATGAAAAAATATTAGACACGTATTTTTTTATTTTGTCGTATAATAAAACAATACTTAGATAAAACGAATCAAAGTTTAGGAGTGGGGGCTAAAACGTCATTCCTTAGTATAAAATGTACTGAGAAGTGACGTCACGCGACATTTCAAATCAATATATCTTCGAAACTATTCGTTTCTGTGAGAAAATAAAAAATACGTGTCTAATGTTTTTAAATAATCTATCAGACGGACATTAAAATAAAAATTAGTCGTCTACCCTATTGTTATGTTTCATCGTTTTATTAATTGTATATTGTTGACTGCACCGTAGGTGCGGGGGCTGGGTAGTTACCCAGCCAATTGTGTGTGAGGCTACGTTTGAAATAAAATGATAAATAAAAAAATTTAGTAATAGACGACACGCTTATTATTCTTAACGGATTTTTAAACAGATCACCTGATGGCAAATACAAAGTTACTCAAGTAAATATACTGAGAAAAGTGAAAATATTGAATAAAAAGAATACTAAGTAAATACTGCTCATGAGGAAGAGTCCTTCTGTGCGTCGAAACCAGTAGAGCTTTACTCAGTATACTCGTAATTTTTTGTTAAGACGTAGAAAACTCAGTGCTTTACACTCACTTAGAAATCGAACTAAGCAAGGAAAATTTAACCCCTCGAGCGTCCTTATGAGCACCCGGTGGATCATAAGAAAAAATGCTCCATGCTGCTTTCTCTTTTATAAAATCTATAATTAATGTTTTGTTTTTATTTGGACTGTATTTTTTATTTCTATTGTTGAACATCCTTGTTTTCGTGTGCCAATGGCCAAATAAATGCATTTTCTTTCTTTATTTCTTTCTTTCTCCAAATGTCACGTGTGCACCCGTTGGATCATAAGAAACGCGGA